ACACAATCTGCTCTAACGGACTCTCTGTGCAGGAACACCAACGTCTCCATTTCACCAACGTGTGGAGAGAAATAAAACTAAACACTCCATTTATTTACGTTACAATTTGGTGTTTTGGTTCTCGTGGAGAACTCACCGATACCGATACCGATACCAGTTTATACCACGGTGTGTAGAAGTAAACGTAAGGCCGCCACAGACTCTAGAACCAGGACTAAACCGGGACTGAGCCGGGACTAAACCGGGACTGAGCCGGGACTGAGTCGGGACTGAACCGGGACTGAACCAGGACTAAACAAGGGATTACACAGATACAAGGACACATGGGACCAAGGACTAAACCAGGACCAAACCAAGACTAAACCAGGAATAAACAAGGGATTACACAGATAAAAGGACTCGTGGGACCAGAGCCTAAACCAGTACTAAACTAGGACTGAACCAGGACTAAAGAAGGTCTAGACTGGTCTAAACCAAGACTAAAGAAGGTCTAGACTGGGACTAAATCAGAACCTCTAGAATCCCTGTTCCTGCGCTGTTTTTATTTAGTTTTTTTGCACACTGTGTGCACTGGGGCGTGTGTTTCAGGTTGAACAGAGATTCACCAGTATGTGCACGAGTGTCATCAAGACCAAGACCAGTCCCAGACCACAGGGTCCCGAGACCAGGACAAGACCAAGACCTCTGTTATTAGGCTTTTTTTTCAAGAGTTTGTTTTCATACCTGCTCCCTAGAGGTCTGTAAACCAGGACGAGGGGCTTTTTTACTCTCACACACCTGGATTCTGTCCTGAGGAAGTGGGACTGCAGGTGGCGCTGTCGTCCTGCCTCCACCGAGAGGAAGACAGAGACAAAACCTGTTTAAATCAACTGAGCGACACGACACAGAAACATCACGAGACTCTGAGGAAGACGCAGGGAGCAGAACAAACTGTCAGGAGGAAAACAAACTCTTGGTCTGAAAAAAGAACCTGATAACATAAAATAGCGGAAAACCAAATGAACCTGATTGGACTAAGACCAAGACCTGGCCAAGACCACAGGGTCCCAAGACTGAGACAAGACCTCTGAGGGCTGAGACCGAGACAAGACCGAAACCTCTGAAGTTCAAGACCGAGACTTTTAAAGGCCGAGACCGAGACAAGACTGACACAAGACCGAGACCTCTGATGTTCAAGACCGAGACAAGGACCGAGACAAGACCGAGACCTCTGACGTTCAAGACCGAGACAAGACCGAGACCTCTGACGTTCAAGACTGAGACAAGACCGAGACAAGACCGAGACAAGACCGAGACCTCTGACGTTCAAGATCGAGACTTTTAAAGGCCGAGACGAGACAAGACCGAGACAAGACCGAGACCTCTGATGTTCAAGACCGAGACAAGACCGAGACCTCTGATGTTCAAAACCGAGACAAGACCGAGACCTCTGAGGGCCGAGACTGAGACGAGACCTACATGGTCCATCAAGACCAAATCGAGACCATCTTTGTCATTTTCAACATTTATTTGTATTTTGTATTTGAGTTATTTTAGCACAAATATATCAATGTTTTTACAAATTATCTCCATTCTATCTGATTAAAACCCAAACCTTTCTCACTGAACGTACACGATTCACGTAGGTCACAAATTTTGCTGAAAGGTGAGAGATTTTTGTGCCTGCATTATTTCCAGAGGATAATTTCTGTGGATAATTTGGATGAGATGCTGCACTTTAAATTTACAACTTTTACAACAACACAAGAGGTGAGGAATCATTATTGTCACTGTTTTTGTGTGTGAATCAGAGTTTGTGTGTAACTCATATGTGAAAGTTCCCTCTAAATACATGTACACACAGAGTATCTTTAGGCTCGGTCGCAGTACTTGTACTTTCTCAGTCTTTTACCCTCTCGGTTGCCGGGGGAACACTCAAACCAACGTGAGCGGCCCCGAATAAATCCATAAATCCATAAATACATAAATAAATTCATAATAAATGCATACATAAATAAATACATAGAAATGCCTCAATAAATGCATTTATAAGCAGCAGCTCAGGCAGAGACTCACAGGGAGAGGAAAAGACTCATGCAGCGGCGGGAAAAGCACGTTTGTACTCGAGTAATATTTGTGCTGAAGTAACAGAGCATGACTTTTCCAGGCCTGGAAAATTACATTTTCAATTTCCATGACTTTTCCAGGATTTCACCTTTTAAATATTCAGAACAAATATTATCAAGCGTCAAATTCAACCTTCAAAATTCAGAGTGTAAAATTTGCAGTGAATTCTGCGGCAAAGGTCCAAGACGCCGAGGCAAAAGCAATCGATCCAAAATGATCCGATCTGACTTAGTAACAAACAGGAAATGATGCAGTGAAGCAATTTGATTGGTCAGAATTCACCTCATCCAAACCTCAGTCCCCGCCCACAGTTTTCCAGGATTGGAAAAGTCACAAAAATTGAAAATGTCATTTTCCAGGCCTGGAAAAGTCATGGAATTTTAGAATCTCTTTCAGGCAGCTCCAGTGTTCTGTTAAGTTCTCATGAGACTATTATGTTTATTTGTGAACGTGTGTGTCTTTTGTTTAAAAGAGACGACAATACATGCAACAAAAGTTGTTTTTTTTTATATTGAACGTTAAACACTTTGAAAACGTGCACATATACTGATATTTCATCAACTGCCATTAAGAAAAAAATAATTCAAACATGTTTTTTCAGAGTTAAAAAATTCTGTTTAAAATTCTAAATCTGACAGAACAAATGATCTTTCATAGTTAAAGAAGCAAATTTATTTGTCTTCAGACCAAACTGACTGAGTCTTAATAAAAGTGAACTGGAGCCAGAGTGGGTGGAGCCTGGAGTGTGGCCGCGCTCGCTCTGGTGCTGGTGTCTGTGGTGGGAGTGGTACCTGGGACAGGGGACACTCTTTGGCCAGCGAGCTCTGGTTCATCTCCTTCAGAAGCTCCTTCAGGGCGTTCCTCACGATGGAGTGAGTCCACTGCTCCGCCGGCAGGTCCTCCAGCCTCGGACAACTACACACACACAGAGATAAACACACACACAGAGACACACATACACACACACACACACACACAGACACACATACACACACACACAGAGGTTTATCCAGCTGAATCTCCTCGTGACAATGTCTAAAACTTTCTGTCTCTCCAAGATCCTGTCCCTGTAACTTCCCCTGAGGTCTGAACTGAACTGAGGCGCAGAGAGAAACAGCAGCTGGAAGACGAACTATGAGACTGAAGACAAAAGGGCAAGTCTGATACACACACACACACACAGATACACACACACACACACAGATACACACACACACAGATACACACACACACACACAGATACACACACACACACACAGATACACACACACACACACAGATACACACACACACACACACAGATACACACACACACACACAGATACACACACACACACACAGATACACACACACACACACACACACACAGATACACACACACACACAGATACACACACACACACACACACACACACACACACAGTACACACACACACACACACACACACACATCACACACACACACACACACATACACACACACACACACACACAGATACACACACACACACACACACAGATACACACACACACATACACAGATACACACACACACACACGAGTCTGGCTCTAAAATGTGTTCACTGTTGTGTAGAAGGTCGATCAGGAGAACTCACCAAAGAAACATGAAATAACTCATAAAAACAATCATTACCAAGTTACTCACCCCTGCCTCACCT